CAGCACCCAGCATGCGGATGCGTCTCAGTACTAATGATGTTCTTACAAGAGCAATTAACAAGAAATTTTGATGGTTTGTTCTAAGAGACAAGAAAATTGTGCAGCTCGTACGTGTACAACTGCCTTCTTCTGCTTGAATTCCACTTGTTGCAATTGTCCCGCAAAATGTGATTCGATGATTTTTAGGAAAGCTTCTAGCAGAGTGAAATTCTTTTCCACGTAAAGTCGATTTGCTGTATCCAGCGTAACACCTTTGTCCGCACTGTTAACATCAGCAAGCAATTTAGAAATGTAATCCACAAACTGCTCGTCACTTTGTCCTGCAAATTTGTCAAACATGTCAGCCTGGAAAGCGCTTTTATGTCTTACGTTCTTGAAAGCCGAACCATGAATGACAAATACGCTAACAATCCTAACCGACGTAAGACAGCATCTTAGTAACATCACTAACACGGGATGCCCACATCGATTATCCAAATAGTCTTGATATTCTTGATAATATTAATCCTAGGCTGTCTCTGAAGGATAGTATTCAAGATTATAAAAACCAAAAGCGCTAAATTCATGCACAGACTCCGTTCAAAAATAGCAAACGTTTCCCCTAATTTTTTTTTTTCAGCTTATTTCGGCATCGCCTAATTCAGTTTAGTACCAACCAGCAAGACATAGGAAAATTCTTCAATAAACAGTTATTGCCTCCTTCCCATAAGCTGTCGGATGCGTCACCTATCAGAAGTTGCATCTGATTTCCAACTCATGATTTCCCAAATTTGAAAACATTTCATTTCCAGTACCATCAAACTTAAAAACTTCAAATTCAGCCTCCAGATATGTGTGGTTGTCAGACACGGCTCTATGAAAATTTCTGGGGAGGGGGAAATGGATGGCTCGGGAAACAAAAAAGTTGGAAGGCTGGAATTTCAAAGAGATGTACCCCGTCCACGTAGAGCTCAAAGATTTCGAATTCAACTTCCAAGTGTTTGTGGTTCCCAATTACAGCCCGGTGAAGTTTTTTGGCGGAAAAATTCACTAACTCGGGAACCGAGAAAGCTAGGAAGCTGAAATTTTGAGGGTATGTTCCTTAAAACTGAACGATTTGAAATTCAGCCTCTCCTCCCGGCATACATGGTTCTCACGTTAGCCCCCCGTCAGATTTTTGGTGGGAAAATTGCTAACTAGGGAACCAGAAAAGCTGAAAAGCTAAAATTTTAACAGAATGTTGTAGACGTACGACTAACTTTCTGAAGTTCGAGGACCATTATGTCATAAATTCTAGCTGTTGCAATTCCAAGCGATCTTACAACAGCATAAGATACTGCAAAAGCGCATGATTGCATGCACCCGACCGGTGCGTGTCGCCAGTGATTTTAATATGAATTTGATTGCAGAATGTCAAAAACATTGACCTTTTGCTAACACTTCGGTCATCTCTTCCTTCGTTTTACCTTCAGCTCCGACATAAGTCATTGCTAGAGCGACAGCAGCCGAAAACGGCGAGATAATTGCCGATTCATCGCCTTTGGTTGCCGCCCTCAATAAATTCAGCGCAAAATCCGCCTGAGCTTCATCCATGCCGGTAGCTCTGCAAACTTTAAAATTCAAATAATTGCATTTCCAGCAAAATTTGAGTACTAATTTGGGTACTACTGCATGGGCTTTCTACTGGGAAAAGAAAAAAGGGACGTATTTTTGATAATTAAGTATCATTCTACACGTTCTTCGTCCGAGGGAGAAGGGAGGCAGTGGAAGGGAGGAGGCAAATTTCTCGGTGCACGGTTCTTGGAATCCCTAGGCAAACATTTGTTGGCATGAAGTAATCCGGGATTATACCATGCCATTCTGTTATGGCAACAGGAAAAGATTAAGTATCATATGGGCTGAAATACGTCCCTCCTTTGATTCTTCCCATTAAAAAATTTGCTACTTTTGAAATGAACGCGACCCACTGGGGATGGGACCGAATAACCACGTAAGTCTGTGAAAAAAAATGATGACTGGTGACAGAGACCGACAACACGTACGGTTTGTTATCGAAGTTGTGCGAAAACAAATAATGAGATATCAGTAGGGATCAATGATTAAATGAAAAATTAAAAAGAAATC